TAGGATCGTAATAGTTGGGCTACAATTTAAGTATTGGGCTTTAGAAAATGGTAAAGTTAAGGAAAAATCACCCCATATACACATTTAAGAGTCAATATTATAGGTTTTAAATTTACTTTTAAAAAATTCGTGCTTATAACAGTTTAATTACGTGTTATAACATATCACTAATTATTTATAAATTAATTAAATTTTACTTTATTAAATAAGTAATTTTTTATAATTTTATATTATTATTAAATTATTTAAATAAAGAATGCCCCATAATTATCTCTTACACAATTATAGAGATTTTACATTGATTACACTTCCTTATTTAATGTTATACTCCTAACCTCCCATTAGTCAATCCCACCACCCTTTCCCCACACATATCCAACTATACACGCTATCACCCCACTTTCACCTTCTTCTCTCCCATTTTTCTCACCAGCCAACTACACCAACATTCAATCTTTCGTTCAATTTTTTTCCAACAAAATTATGTCTAAGAAACCCATTGAAACGCCTCAAAAGAGTCCCAGATTGGGTGAAGGAATATCTAATGATGATGTTCATGTTTCAAATTTTAATATATTAACTCAACCCCCCCCCCCCCCCCTCTCCCTTCCCAGCCTAAAATTGTTGAAAATCCGGCGAATATTCAAAATCCGACGACGGATGGTTTATCTAAGTTGAAGGAGCGACAAAGAGAGAAAAAATGAAGAAAAAAAAAGGTCACCCCTGCAAATCAAAAGGGGAAGAAGAGGAAGGGGAAAATTGTTGAAACCCCTTCTGATTTTGATTTTGATTTTGTTACTGAAATCAAAAAGAAAAAAAAACAAATGTAGAAGTTGGAGCATCTTCAAAACCATCAACAAGAAGAACAACAAAAAGTTTTTTTTTTTTTTTTTACTTTTGGACAATTTTTTTGTGTTTAAGTATTTGATGATATATAATATCATATGTTTTCTTCCAGGCAGATACCGTTTATGTATGAATTACTGATTGCCTATTACAATTTCAAGATACTATTTTGAAAATAACAGTGTGTTTCCAAACTGTACATTTATTGGATGGAATCTGTATGAAATCTGATTAATATGTGTATGACTACGCTTAAATGTTTTGATTTTGAAAATTTTATGAATTGTGATATAATAATGGTATGCAAATGGTATGAATTGCGTTTTAACATTGGTGTGATTGTCTATTAACTGTGTTTATGGTATACATTATTAATCTGGTATGAAAATGGTATGATTTGTCAAACTACTGATTTTTACTTAAAAAAATCACATTATGCTTACTTTATATTCTAAAAATGTTTTTGGATGAAACGTGTATGAAATCTGATTAATACGTGTATGCCTATGAGTTTAATATTTTATTATTGGATATTGTATGAATTGTGATATAATATTGATATACAAATGGTATAAATTGTGTGATTATATGAATTTATCAATTTTTATACATGTTGTTTGGATAAAACGTGTATGAAATTTTGATTAATATGTGTATGACACTAACTGAAGTTAGTGTGGGAATGAAACACTAACTGCAATTTGTTTTAAATTTCTTTATAGTAGGACACCAGTTGAAAACCAAATTAATATTAATGTAAACTTACATTAAATTAAATAATCGGGATACCATAATTACCTTTTATAATTATCACTAATATTTACACTATCTTATGTATTAAGCTGAAATAAATTTTATTTTTAATAGTATGCAATCTATATTATTAATGAATGAACAGTGTATAAAGAATGAATGGTATATTAAACACTAAGTTTATAATGCATTTCAAACTAATTATGTTTCATATCAAAACAAAACATTAATCTAAACGACAAAATAAAATAAAAATTATATATAGTCTAAACAAATAAACAGTCATTAGTTTTGCACGGGATAATTTGAACACGCTTCATGTTGTGGCCAACTTGACAACATCTACTGCAAGTAACTTTGGACCTTTTGAATTTCACATCAGCAACCCTCTTTCATATATAATTCATTTCATTTGAAAATCAACATAATTCTCTGTTTCATTAAAAAAATTAACAATTAGTCTAACATTATACAAATCAATTAGAAATATGTTAAATAATATTAACTTTTCATTCCAAAGACAATACAAAATTCATCCATAAAAATCATTATAATAACAACAAAATTATACACACTCGTCATTATTTTTTCATACAAATATCATTCAGACAGTATATTACAAAACAAATTTCATACAAAACATAATATTTCACATTTAATACTCACTTAATACACATTTCATACAACAATCATCATTCATACCAAATTTATACATTTTCATACTCATTTAATATACATTTCATACAAAACGATTATTCATTCAAACTATATACATTTCTCGTCCCAAATAATTAATTATTGTTACCAACTTTATACAGAAATAACAAAACTAATATTAACTCAACAATTTCACATTTAATACCAATTTAAAACACTTGTAATACACTTCGTTAAGAATTCTAATTTTTTTTTTACATATTTCTTAACACACTTTTCATACATAATTCATTCGACTTATACTATCAAATTCATTATCAAATAAAATAATTTTTCATAAATTCGTCAACATTATAATTAAATTATTTTTACAGAATAATTAGCACACTTTCATACAAATTTCATTTAATTTATTCTATCAAATTTATTCATAAAATCACATTAAATTTATAATTTCACAAAACAACAACCGTATACAAAATAAACAAATAAACAAAAAAACACTAAATTTTTATATTTCACAACAGTAAACATAATATGATATCAACAGTTAACAAAATATGACTCCACCTTCAATTAATCGACAGTTTGATCATTTTTGTTTCATTTCGCTATCATTCTAAAACAATCGTTAAACAATAATAAATACTAACCCGAAGGATCCCATCTTTTTTGATTAAAACTGATACGTAGTTGTCCATCACAACAAAATCAAGAATTTTCAAAGATGAAAAAAACTTCAATTACTCGAATGTGGGATTTTTTTTTGTTGAAAATTGAAGAGAGAAACGTTGAATTTTTTTTGTTGCAAATTGAAGAGAGAGAAACGTTGAAAAAAGAAGAAGATAAAATCTGAATTTTTATTTGATTTTAACTGATTTGAGTGAATTAAGGATACTAAATAATCTTAATTAGTTTAAATCCCTTAATTCGTGCTATTTATTAATTATCTACAAAAAAATTGATATGATCTGAATTTTTAGTTTATCTTAACTGATTTTGAGTGAATTAAGGATAAAAAATATTGTTAATTTGTTTGAATCTCTTATTTCATGCTAATCATTAATTATCTACAATAAATTCAAATTAAATTACAGGCCACACTTTCAGTTTTTTACTTTATTATCTCTAATTTCGTTTTTTTTTAAATTTTCGTTTATCTTTTCTTTTTCTTTTTAAACTTTTTTTGAATTAATAAAAACATTTCTTTTATTTGTGAATTTGTTATAACTTGAAATTTTTAATGTTATAGCTTGAAAGTCTAAATCTACTGTTATAGCCTGAAAATAGTACTATAATATATGTCATATATGAAATTTACACTAAAGTTAAAGACTTAAGCTAATTAAAATTTAACAAAATATTTATTTTTTATTTATGAATAATATATAAATAATTATAAATTTATATATCTAATTTATTGGTTCGGTTTGGTTATTTTTGCGGTTGTGTTTTAGTAAAACAAAAACAAATCAAATAGTATTGGTTTTCAAAATTTAAAATCAAACCTAACCACCACCAAATCAAATATCGATTTTTAATTGGTTTGGTTCAGATTACGATTTGATTTAGTTTTTTAACCATAACCATGAACAACCCTAGGTGTAGATTAGAAAATATCATTACTTTGATGCATATATTATGTTGAGTTTTATATTTCTACAAAGAGCCTGAATCACTATCTTTTGCAAAAAATAGTAATTTAACTAACGTTTGATCATAAATTTTAGGTCAAATTTTAAAGATATAGCTTCTAACAATTTATTTATTTATTCATGAAATTTAATCAGATTTTGAAAAATTTATTATAAATATTTTCAAATTCTGAAAAATGTGCTCTAATCAATTTTTGAGATTTCCACTCATGAAAATTATGTATATAACATACAAACGCAACTTCAAAATCTATATCAAAAGGAGAGGTTAATTACAAGTTTAACATATAACGTTTCTCTACTAGACTACTAGATAATAAGGCCCCCTTTGCACCGTGTCATAATTCCTAAACCAAAGGAAAATTTCGAAGTCTTTTTCTCTGCTTCAATTCTTCTTTTTTTTCGAATTTCAACAAAATCATATCCAAACACTTACTTGAAATTTGCTGTTCGTTAAAAAAAAAAAAAACATATCTTAACTTTTGTGACAGTAAATTATACTTGCCATAAATAATGAAGTTAGGAATTTACAAATAAAGGCTTGACCATCAATATATATTTAAGTGAAATAACAGTCTTTGCTCACAAAACCTTAACCTTTTCTCAAATAATATGATATTGTATAATTATATTATAGTATAATAAACGAAAAATATAAGTTGAGCTGGAGATAGATAGGGTATAGGGAAATTAAGATTTTAAACTGATAAATCTAAAAAGTATTGTTCCACAAAAGGAAAACTATTATACCCAACGTAATTATATGGTACATATGTTAAGTTGAGCTTTATGTTTGTGCAAACTTCAAAGAGCCTATGGAAGAAAAAAAAAATATCACTATTTTATTTGCAAAAATAATAATTTAGCTAGCATTTAGTTATTAATTTTGAAAATTTCATCATTAATCATTTTCAAATTCTTGAAAATTAACTCTACTTGTAAAATTTTATTTTAAAAAAATAAATTACACACTATCATTACTTCAAAATTTATGACCAAACAAGAGTTTAATTATCAAAAGTTTCACATTTTACGTTTCTCTAGTGGACTTTACTAGATAGACCCTTTGCGCCGTGTCCTACAGAAAAAACCAAAAGGAAAATTCCGCAGTCTTTTTCTCTGCTTCAATTTCTTATCAAACTCCGAACGAATAATTGCAATTTGTGAATAAAAAATTCCTTTCTTCCTCCCAACCTACCAATAATTTGGAACAAAAAAGCATACTCCTAACAATCGGAATATTTTTCAATTTTGTCGGCGGACGATGGATATTGATCCTCGGCAATACGAAGATATTGTAAGTTCTTTTCTATTATTACTTTAATTTATGATTAAAGTTGTTTCCTTTTCATCTTCTATTGATGAAAGTGTTTTTGATTTTTGATTTTGGCTAAATACTATTGCAGCCCCTTTTGTTCAAATCTTTTGAATCTGTAATTGCTAATAATTGACTTTGAGAGTTCTTTTTGATAATTGAGTAGTTGTATCTGTGGCATTGTTGGTTTTTATCTGAATTTGATGAATAGACAACAGGGAAGGGTTTTGAAACTTGTTAAATTTGGTATAGTTCTTGTTTTGGTTGAGGGAAAGGAGATTTTAAGTAGGATGAGAGTTAGAGGAGAGCTTGTTGTCTTTTACTCAATAACTGCAATAAAACATTAATTATTTTACTCAATAACAACAATAAAACATTACATAGTATTTAGAAGACAAGCAATAGTAACTATAGCCGAATAATGTGATAACCAAAGCATAAGGTAACATATAATAACAATAATCGTATGACAAATGCTGCTACTACTGCTATGATCTGAGAAACAAGTATTGAGCACCAAACTACCACCAAGCCTATCCTGCAAAAATGTGAGACAATGCTTAACTACTTATTAACCTTCTATCCTATCCACGACCTTTATATACTCCTATCTAAGGTCATGTTCTCATGTCCTTGGTAAGTTGAAGTCTTGAAGATGCGTCTGGTCCTGTCTAATCACCTCTCCCTAATATCTTTGGCCTATGCCTATCCTTATCTCTCCTTAAACCCACCACATCCGACCTCTCACACCTTCTCATTGGGGCATCCGCTCATCTCCTCCTCACATGCCCGAATCATCTCAATCTCGCTTCCCTCATCTTGTACACCATAGAGGTCACTCTCACCTTGTCCTAGATATCTTCATTTTTAATCTTATCTCTCCTAGTATGCACATCCATCCACCTCAACATCCTCATATATGCAACTCTCATCTTTTGAACTTGAGAGTTCTTAACTGGCCAACACTCCACCCCATAAACATAGTCGGCCTAACCACCACACTAGACACTTAACTTTAAGTTTTGGTGGTACATTCTTATCACACAATACTCCATAGGTGCTTGCCTCCTTCCAAATTTTTGCTTTTGGAGGATCAATTTTATCAGTTGTTGTAGCCATCTAAGGCATGGGGTAATGTGTTTGTTGAAAATCAGACATAGATTGAGATTATGTAGAAAGAATACTACAAGTTGCAACCTTTTCCCATTTTCAAAATAATGAGCAACTATTATACTTATAGCTGTAAGCATATGCCATAACAGTCTGTTAAAAAAATGTGTGTCACTATTATTTTATATGAACCTTTGAAGTGAGAAGTGGAAAAGGGGAGTATATTATGCATCGGGCAACAGGTGGGATATTATGATGCTCGAAGGTACTAAAAAAGGACAAGATAGACCTAAAACATGAGGTGTTGTCTCAGGATACCTATAGTCTCTTGTAATCAATGTAGGTTCAAGGGCAGAATACAATGCAAGAAAATGATATTTAGACGATACTAGTTAGGATTAAGAGGGAGATTTAGAGAACTTGTTTCAGAGATCCTCTAATTTATCCTTAAAGAAAAAATGTTTAGTATTTATGATGAAATGGGCTCAATCTGTATGAGTATGGAGGATTCAAGAAGCCGATTTGAAATATAGCCAACTCCGTCTGATATGGGATTGAGGAGTAGTTCATTGATTGATATAGGTTTAAAAGTTGAGTGTAAGATCGATAATAAGAAAATACTGAAAATAACCTATTGTCAGAGAAGTTTGTTTTGTTTGTGGACTCTTTTTCATTGTTTTGTCTTGGAAGACTTTAAAAAATTAAATGATCTATGCTTTAAATGGATCTTGTACTGTGTCTAACTTGTGATTTTCTTATTGTGGGATTCTTCCATAGGCTGTCAATGACAATGATGTTCACAGCATTGTCATGTCATATCTCGCGCATAGCTGCTTCACAGACACATTGGAATCATTTACTACCTCCACGGGCGTGAAGCAGACTGCGAATCTGGAGGATATGGAGAAGAGAAAAAGTAAGTGATTGTATTCTTCAGGCTCAGATTGCTTCTGGAAGCTTGTTGTTTCTCATTCTTTTCATTGTGTTACAATCTAACATTAACACTCCTTAAGCCCCTTTTTTGGGTAGTGGTTTACTTCTAAGCTTTAAGAATAGTTTTCCATGATAAGTATACCCCTTTCCCCCTAATGAGTACTTTTGTTTGAGAAATAGCCTTGTTTGTAATAATTTTTTTCTTTTTGATATCATGCTATTTTTCTGTTGGTTTTCTGGCACAAATATCTTGCATCCCTACTGTCTACTATGTCATATGTTAAAAGCCTACTATAAGCTTGACGATTAGCTGTGTAACACAGTGATTGAAGGAAGGTGTTAAAAGGAGACGAGATAGACCTAGAATAACATGGAAGGAAGTCTATAATCTCTAAAGTCCATTTGACTTAGCATAAGAAAAATATAATAAGGTTTGGTCATTGTTGGTACATGTATATAAAGTCTAGTGTTTACCAAGAATATTTTCACAATGGTTTAAGAATGGTGTGTCAATGTTAATATAAGTGTGCAATGTAGAGGATATTTGTTCTTAGAGAAGCTCTAGTAAATGACAAATTATTGAGTATTTGAATGAAACAAACCCTAATGGAGCAAAATGAATATATAGAATTTAGATAATCAACCCAATTAGCTTGGGATTGGAACAGTGCTGTTCTATTCACCTGCAATGCATAGGAACAATAGATGGTTTATCTATTACTAAAGAAGGAACAAATTTGGTAATGTTAACATATTTTGTTTCTTTTTTTTCCTTTCCTCTTTATAATTTAGTTTACCCACTCCACATTGAGCATTGGCATGATGTAAGATGAAGTCGTTTGGATTCTGGTCTTCCACTTATTAGTTTTAGGCTTTTAGAAGTGTTTGATTGATGGTCCTGATGACAAAGTTATATCCAGGGATTTATCATTTGGCATTAGAGGGGAGTGTTTTGAAGGCCATTGAACTTACAGAGCAGTTCGCTCCTGACTTACTAGAGAAAAATAAGGATCTGCATTTTGATTTGTTGAGCCTTCATTTCGTTGGACTTGTCTGCTCAAGAAAATGGTGAGCACCATATGCCAATGACTTATTTGTCAAATACAACTTACATTTTCTGACTATTTCTTCCTGTGGCAGCACAGAAGCTCTGGAATTTGCGCAGGCGAAGTTGGCTCCTTTTGGGAAGGTACAGAAATATGTTGAAAAACTTGAGGTATGTTACTTCCCTAGTGAATCTCTTAGATATTCTCTTTCAAATCCCTTGTACTTGTCTAATTGGAGCTTTGTGGCAGGACTTCATGGCTTTATTAGCTTATAACGAGCCAGAAAAGTCACCCATGTTTCATCTATTAAGCTTGGAGTACAGGCAGCAAGTTGCCGATAGTTTGAATAGAGCAATGCTTGGTGTGTTTTTATGGTCTTTCTGATGTCGTGATTCCTAATGATTTTAGTTTCCCTCCTCTCACTCATTTTTGATGTCATGCTGCTGGCAGCGAATTCAAACCTCCCCAGCTATTCTGCGGTTGAAAGGTTGATGCAGCAAACAACTGTCGTAAGGCAATGCTTAAGCCAAGAATCCAGTAAGGTTTGATCTTAGAACTTTTTTCAGTGAATTGTGGCTTTGCATTCTGTGGATAGGGAACATAGGAGGTGAAAAAAGTGTTAAAAGAGACTCTTGAGATAGGAACCACTAGTAGTTTATCTTAGGAGCGACACAATTTTGCAGATCTGTTAGCGACCCCTTCCCTAGACATTCATGCAAACAGTGGCGCAGTTAGAATTCTGGCAAGGGGATTCAAAAACATACAAGAAGGCCACACATGAGAATTCGAAGCTGTGACCTAAACTATCTTCTTGACCACATTTACAACTGCAGTAGAAGCTGCTCTACCGTTAATGAGATTCAACAATTTATATATATGCCAAAACAAAATTGTTTTTATCCTATTTGCGTAGTATAAAGGCTCCACCCCCTTCCCAATAGTTAGCTCCCCCATGCATGCAAGGTTTTACCAACCTGCTGTTGGACCAAGACCACTTGAAACTTTGGTAGTTCAAAATTCATGATGACCGGATAGAGTTGCACTACTAACCTTCTTTTTTAGTTACCGAGAAATCCCGAGGTCCATCATGGTTCGAAACTTGTGGATAATGGGCCTGCCCTACCCTTTAATTCCCACTTAAATACTAACTTTTGATGACTGTCATGTTGCAGGAAGGGTATCCAGCATTTGCTTTGAAAGACTTTTTGAAGAGCTAGAGCCTAGGTGAGCCAATTTAGGGACATGTTTCCTGCACTCGGAGTAGCAATTCTGCACCTTGAAGTCGTTTGGCAGCTAGATTTGCATTGCCTACTTTCCGAAAGCAAAAAAATGGCATGGCTGATCATGGGTTCTATGACGTTTTTAAGACCTCACGAATTAGCCTTTAGGCAACTTGTGGGAGTATTAAGTTTTACTGAATACCACAATAGCACTTGTGGCGATTTGTTTATACTTAAAATGTCATAAGTGAATATGTTAGTCAAATGCTTTGTTTAAATGAAAATTCTTAAGCGTTCCATATGAGAAGATTGGCCTATTGTCTCTGTCTTCTACTTGATTGAATTTGTTGCACTTGCATCGAGGGTCTTTTGGAAACAACCTCTCTACCTTCACCTTCATAAGATAGTGATAAAGTTTGCGTACATTTTACCCTTCTGAGTCCCCAGATTTTACTAGGAATGTTGTTGTATGAGAAGATTAGCCTAATTAAATGCTGTTTTATCCCTATTTTGAAAATAGAGATAAAATTAATTCCCAGTTGCATTTGATTTTGATTTTGATTTGATTATATAATAGAAGTACTGCCATGAGCAAATACATAACTTCCCAATTTTATAATTTTCTTGTATAAACATGTGTAGTTTCAGAAAATAAATGTATTATTGTTGGACACAAATTCTTTACATACAAACCCCTACAACAATTTCCCCAAAACAAAATTCAAACACTCATTAAAAAAGAAAGAAAATAATTTTTTATCATTAAACATAAATTATTCACTCTCTTTTTATGTTTATCCAAACCAAATGCTACTACTATTTTTTTAATTGGGCATGATAGATATAATTTTAACTTAACTCCATTTTACATTTATATCATCTAATTTTGGATGTATATAAATAGACACTTTAACTTATATAAAATTAAACAAAAACATACTACCGCTTTTGATGTCCCACGATTCTGCTAGTTTAGAAAGAAAGGAGAAGGACCACCAGAGGCAAGCGCTAGGTTAGAAAAGCGATAACTAAAAAATCTCCTCAAGTAAGATAAGTGATACGTAATATGATACATATAAAACACTATGTAGGACAGTAATTATCAGATAGAACGTATGTGCCTATTTGTGCACGTCCCGAGTATAGGTTCAGTATATAGGGACTAAAATTATCCAATTCCCTTACATTAGGACCATTTTAGCCATATTATAAAACAGTTTTTTTTTTTAAATTTCCCTTTTAATTCAAAAGAAAAGAAAAAAGAAAAAAGAAAAAACAAAAAACAAAATAAAAAATCCTCTTCTTCTATCCTGAATCAAAAAACAAATTTTACTACTACAATGGCGTCTATGGTCTCTCACTGGTCTTCTTCTTCCTTTCTCAACCTTAATTTTACCAATGATTCCTCCTTTTCCTTCTCTGCTACTTTTTCCTTTTCTCGCCCACAATTCCCAAATAGGTACAATTTTCTCCTTAATCTCGTAGTTTCCGAAATTAAATATGGTTTTGTCTTCTTCATATAGTTATATCAGCTAGATATAGTCATTGAGCTTGTATGAACTTTGATTTAGTTTTTTACTTACGAATTGCAATTGCTTTTAAATTTTCTACCATTGTTAAAAAAAAAAAAACTACTGTTAATACTTGGGGCAGCTAAAATGTGTATACTTGAGATAAAAGTTGTGAATTTAAAAAGATCACAATGTGCACAGCGTTTACTTTTTCTTCTTTTGAGATAGTTAGCAATTTATAGATATTTCAATTGTGTTAACATATAAGAGTTCCTCTGTTCATGTTTAAATGTTTTTGTTTGATGAGCACGAAGTTTATGAAATAAAGTAAGAGTTTTAAATTTTGAAATGTTAAATTAAAGATGTGTGTAGTACTTTCAGTTTTGTGGTATGGAAAACTTAGAGACTCCTTTTCTGGGAAAGACTAAAATGGAAAGTAAGACACTTAAATTGGGAATATTTTGAGAATGTACCTGGTGAGAGGTAATAAACACCTCGTGAAATTAGTCGAGGTGTGTGGAAGCTGCCTGGATACCATGGTTATTAAAAAAATCTTTAGTCCTTTTACATATTAGCGCAATGAAAAACTACTTATCAAAAAATAGAAATTATGCTTCAACTTTGTTAAGCAGTTAAGGTGTATAGTAAAACTTACGGAGGGTTGTTCTGTTTGAGTATTAGCGAGTACTGATTTATCATTTCATGGATTTGGTTGTTCCTGTGATTGTGTTCCTATTACATTCTTGTTGCTATAATATACATATTGGTCTTGCCTTTACAGTGCTTCTCAAAAAAGGAACAGTAATGAAAATTATAGAGGCTATACTGTAAAGTGTGCACTTGCAAAAACCAGAATGCCTCCTTCGCCCGCTTCTGATGCATACATAAGAGAACCCCACAAATATTTTGATGAGGTGGTTATAACAGTTCGTGCTGGAGATGGAGGGCATGGTGCCGTTCTTAGTATGCCTAACAATAAAGCTCCATCTAAGTCACAAGGAAAATTTGACAGAGATAAGACAAAGAAGAAAGCCTCTTATAAAAGGGACTTTGATGGTTCAATAATCCTACCAATGGGGGGACATGGTGGCGATGTTGTCTTATATGCAGATGAGAGCAAAGATTCACTGTTGGAGTTTCACAACAAGAGCAAGCACAAGGCGAAGCGTGGGGGAAATGTTGATTCTATGGGTGTGTTAACATCTCACATGCAAAATGGAGCTGCTTCACCAACACTGCGAATTCCCGTTCCACTAGGTTTGTTCTCCCTTTGGCTCTCTAGTGTAATAGCTCTAGCATGCGTGGGAAATTCCTGTGACAATTTAGACTTATTAACTCATGTTTGAAGCTGTTTATGAATTATGATTTTTGTATTTTGAAAGGTATAAATTGTTGTGTGATGCCTACATTTTTCATTTCATGTTTTTCCATATTTTCCAGGTACTGTTGTCAAACTTAAAAAAGGAAAGTTTTTGGCAGATCTAGCTAATCCAGGTGATGAAGTTCTTGTAGCGAGGGGAGGACAAGGAGGGGTGAGAAATCTTTGGGTCTCATATATAACTACCATGTTTGGCGTTTTGTGCTTCTATCTAATTTTGTAGTCAGTATCTCATTTCTACACCGTCCCCTACCAAATATAAGAAAAAGGAAAAAAGAGAATTATTTTCTTTTTTTATATGTGTTTTTTGGTGTTTGAAGTATTTCATTGTGAGTAATAGATACGGTATCACTTATTTGGAACTGCATGCCTGGTCTTTAATTTTGCACTACATGGTTGTGGCAGATTAGCTTGTTGGAAGTTCCGGAGTACAAAAGGAAACAAATGACGACTTTAACAACAAATATAATGAGAGATGCCACTGATAAGGTTTGTATAGGCCTTATCTTTAAGAGACATCTTATTTTCATATAATCCATTTGTCGTGTCTGCTACTATGCCAAAGAACCTTATGATGCATAATAAGGAGCTAAGAGAAAGATATTTATGCACTTAGCTGAATTTAATGTCACTCTGCTGGCAAAAGGTCTCTTTCCAAGTGATTGTATCTTGATGAGCTAACGTGCTAATCTGACTTATGTGAACAGCAAAAAATGTGCTGGAACCAACAAATGTTTTGATAATCTAATAAGAATTACTCAAGTCCAGTATGAATATTGCTAGTAGTTTTTGGACTTAACATACTGTACCTTTGTTAAGGAAGATTGACAGCTTTCCTGCATGTTCCCGGCTGACTGGTATTGATTTGTTTACTTTCTTGCAGGTTTTATCTTTTGGACAGTCTGGAGAGGAAGTTAACCTGCAGTTGATACTGAGAGTTGTTGCTGATGTGGGTCTTGTTGTAAGTATCTTTATTAGTAAAACGTTTTCTGATTCGTAGATATGTGTATTAGCATTCTGATATCCATGATTCACTTGACTTGTACTAATATATGCCAGTATACGCTGAATTATCAATTGATATTTCATTTCATCAATTTGCACATTTAGCTAGGTCGTTTACTCAATTGGACTGCTGCACATTCTCTTATTACTCGGTTCCTCACATTGTTAAATGAAATTATGTACCTTCTGAATGTTGTATGGAAATTTTTTGAACTGCTGTTAGTCAAATTGGAGGCTTCATTGTTGTAAGGAAGGGATTTATCAATGTTTGTGGCATATCTTTTAGAAACTTTTAAATATAACCCTTGAGAGCACCCAAGGTTTACCTAGCTGTCCATGAAGTGAGATGACAACCATGAAAGGCCAGATGACCATCTTTTTAAGCCTTGGTGGTGGGCAGAGATATCCGGTACCTGTTTTGGTGAGAGGTAGCAGGTACCAAGCAGAATAGTCGAGGTGCCTGCAAATTGGCCTGACAGCTTCACTATAAAAGATAAATTGTTGAGAAAAAAAGAAGATTAATTTTAGAACCATTATCCCCTGAATTAATTTAAGCATTCGTAATTGCTAACATTGTGAACCTATATGGTTGGATGCTATGCATGCTCAGATGTCTATGCATGCATCTTTGCTACTGTTAGAATTGAAATGATCTCTCTACCTGAGGCCACAGAAAAACACATTGCTTTTCGGTTCTTGCTCATTTGCGTTTGACCTTCTTTGTTTTTTTTTAATATGCATGTTTGTTATGCTTAAGTGCACGAATGACAGTTTTTTAGTGACTTTTTAGCTTTTAGATGCCCAAGGACATATTGTGTCATTTTTGGGACGAGTACAATAAGTAATAACATATAATATGTGGATTATAATGGTGGATAGTAAATTTATTTGTAGTGATACATCTAGATGCTATAACCTGATTGGTTCATCACACTAAGTGATCATATACACATGCAATTCCATCTAATATTCTTCAGTTATCTTCAGACTCTTTGACTTTGCTCTTTCAATTTTCCCAAGGGACTTCCAAATGCTGGAAAATCAACTCTATTGGCTGCTATTACACATGCAAGACCCGATATTGCTGATTATCCATTCACAACGCTGATGCCAAACCTTGGACGTCTTGATGGCGACCCAAGTTTAGGAGCAGACAAATATTCATCTGAAGCAACTCTAGCAGATCTGCCTGGTCTAATAGAAGGTGCACATTTGGGAAAGGTATTTGTATTATATTCAGCAATCACTTCACTAATTTGACGCCTCAAAACTTGTGGTTTTCTGTTTTACTTATTTTTCTCACAAAATGAAATTTAGCTATGCATGTGTCCCTAATTATCTTATCAGGGTCTAGGGCGTAATTTCTTGAGGCACTTGAGGAGAACAAGATTGTTGGTACATGTCGTTGATGCA